AATCCTCTCCTCTTAGGGTCCAGCCTGCCTCCCTGCTCCCTACTCGCCACCTTCACCTCACCTCCCTCCCGCCCCGACCCTCCCTCCCTCCCCCCCTCCTGCTTCCTTGTTCGCCCCGCAGGTGCGTGCAGCGCGAGGACCAGCCCATCATCCTCACCGGCTACTCCGCGCTCAACAAGCTGCTGGGGAGGGAGGTGTACACCTCGCACATGCAGGTGGGTGGGGGGGTGGGGGTGGGAGACACCCCTGGGCAGGCATCAGGCGGCACCCCAAGCCACCCAGCCACGCCACCTGATCGGATCCGCCACCCACAACCAGCTGCCGTGCCACCTCAAGTCGACGCACGCACTCGCACCTCCCAGGGGCCTGCCCTGCTGCGCTCCCTACTCTCCCCACCGCCTCCCAACCTCCCCCCTGCACCCGTTCCCCCTGCCCCTCCTCCCCTGCTGCAGCTGGGCGGCCCCAAGGTGATGGGAGTCAACGGCGTGAGCCACCACATCGTGGAGGACGACCTGGCGGGGGTGGCCTGCGTGCTGCGCTGGCTGGCATACACGCCCGCGCGCACCGGGGAGCCGCCGGCGCCGCTGCCCACAGCCGACCCGGCGGGGCGTGCCGTGGACTACTGCCCCGCGGAAGGTGTGTGTTGATGTGTGTGCGCGTGTGTGCATGTGTGTGGGTGGTTGGGTGGGGTGGGGAGGGGTGGGGGGGGGTCAGGGTGTGTGGGCAGTAACGTTGGACGTTTGCGGGCGGCTGGGTGATTGGATGGCCGGCGCTTTGCCCCCTGTTGCCCTGGCTGTTGGCGCTCCTGTACCCTCGCGCCCCGTCCCCATCCATGAGCCCCTCTACCACCTGCCTGCCACCTGCCTGCCTCCCCGCAGGCGAGAAGCTGGACCCGCGTGCCGCCATCGCCGGCCAGGAGCTGCGCAGCCCCGCGGGGCACGGCCCTGGGGAGGCCGCCTGGCAGAGCGGGCTGTTTGACCGGGGGAGCTGGATGGAGTCCCAGGTTGGCTGGCTGGGGGCAGGCTGGTCAGCAGCTGCCGGACCAAGCTGCTTGGTCAGCTTGGTCAGCGCTTGGTGGCGGCTGCATGTTGGGCTGTTCGTGGAGAGTACATCAAACTCCAAGTTCAGTACCACAGGCATTGATCTGGCGGCGGGCGGCGCACCCACAGGCACGCTGTGTCCCTCGCCCTGCTCGCGCTGCCTGCAGGCGGGCTGGGCGCGCACGGCGGTGACGGGGCGGGCGCGGCTGGGCGGCGTGCCGGTGGGCGTGATTGCGGTGGAGACCAACACGGTGATGCTGTCCATAGCCGCAGACCCAGGCATGCCAGACTCGTCAGAACGAGTCATCCCGCAGGCAGGCGCCGCCGCTGGGAGTGCTGTGGGGGTTGGGGCAGGCTGAGAGGGAGGGTGTGCGCGTGGCTGAGCTGTGCACGGAGGGAGGCAGGGTGCTGTTGGGCACAACAGGGGCTGGCAGCTGCCAGCAGTGGCCGTTCCAACCGTCATCCCTCCCCTCATGTACACGCCCACCTGTCCTGCAGGCGGGCCAGGTGTGGTTCCCCGACTCCGCGCTCAAGACCGCGCAGGCGATCGAGGAGTTTGGTCTGGAGGGCCTGCCGCTCTTCATTCTGGCCAACTGGCGCGGGTTCTCGGGCGGCCAGCGGGACCTGTTTGAGGGGGTGCTGCAGGTGGGACCGGGAGGGACGGGTGCTGGGTTGGTTGGGGGTCGTGGTGATGGTTGGCGGCATTCCCGGTGTTTCACCGGGATGGTGTGCGTCCTGCCCCGTCTCATCCAGCCCGCCCCGGCACCCGACCGGGTGGCCGCCGCCTTCCACTGGCCCCCACTGGCACCCCACACACACCCCACACACCCGATCCACACACCCCACACACCCCACACACCCTCTCCCTCCCCCCTGTGCAGGCCGGCTCCCTCATCGTGGACAACCTGCGCACCTACGGGCAGCCAGTCATGGTGTACCTGCCCCCCGGCTGCGAGCTGCGCGGCGGCGCCTGGGTGGTCATCGACAGCCAGATCAACGCAGACATGGTGGAGATGTATGCAGACAACAGCGCGCAGGTGGGTGGCAGGGATTGTGTGTGTGTGGTGGTGGCATGGGGGACAGCGGGAGAGCTGCAGGGGCACGAGGAGGGCAGGCAGGGGCTGTTGCGGTTGTTGCCGTGCAGTTGGAGGGAAGGGCCGGCATCCCTGGCGCGTGCTGGCACACGGTCGTGACGCTGCAGCGCTTGCGGCGCGCCCCGCCTGGTGCAGGGCGCCGTGCTGGAGCCTCAGGGCGTGGTTGAGATCAAGTTCCGCGCCCCCGAGCTGGTTGCCACCATGCACCGCATCGACCCGGTCATCCTCAAGCTCAAGGTGGGGCTCGCGCACTGCTGCATGATGCTACAGGAGGCGGGGCTTCCCCGCTCTGCCTGTTCCGCTGCGGGGATTCTCAGCGCTGCGGCCTTTTGCTGTCGGCCCCCTCAGCGCTTTCCCTCATGCCCCCTGGATTGCAGGCGGAAGGCAGCCCCGGGGCGGACGCCGCCATCAAGGCGCGTGAGAGGGCGCTGCTGCCCGTCTACCACCAGGTGGCCATTCAGTTTGCGCAGGTGAGGCAGGGGTGGTGGGCGAATGCGTGTGTGCATCGTGGCGGTGGTGTGGTGTGAGTGGGCAAGGGAGGGGAGTGGAGGGTGTCTGGCGTGGCCTGGCATGGCCTGCGATTCCAAGCCCGGTGCTGACATGCTAGTGGCCGTGCTCCTCCCCACGCGCGCTGCACAAACCACGCCTGCGGCCTGAAACCCTGAGCCGCCCAACCCATCCCCGTTGCCCTGCCACACATCACACGACAGACACCATATGCCCTCTGCCGCCGCAGATGCATGACGGCCCTGTGCGCATGCTTGCCAAGGGCATGCTGCGGGGCATCGTGCCCTGGCGCCAGGCCCGCGCATTCTTCGTGGCGCGCCTGCGGCGGCGGCTGACTGAGGAGGCGCTGCTGAAGCACATCGCGGGTGGGTGGGTGGGTGGGGCTCTAGGAGGCGGCGGTGGCGGGTGGTGGCAGCGAGGTTTGTGGGGCGCTGTTCCTCCAGCCTCTCCTGCTGCTGTTTCGTTAGGGTTGCAAGCAGGCTTCGACCACCACACACACGCGCAGCAATGCCTTGCTGACCCCGTGGCCCCTCCTCTTCCCTGCGCTGTGCAGCCGCCGACTCGGGAGTGAGTCGGCAGCAGGCGCTGGCCCTGCTGCGCGGCTGGTACCAGTCCACGTCGCACGGCACACCCGACTCCCCGGCACGCCGCACCCCCGGCGCCAGCGCCGACGGCAACGGCGCTGGCGCCGCCGACGGCGTCGAGCTGGCGGCCATCGCACCCGCGGCAAACGGCGGCGCCGGCGCTGCAGCGGAGCGGGCGTGGCAGGACGACGGCGCCTTCATGGCGTGGGCGCAGGGCGCCGGGGGCGCCGCCCGCATCGCGATGGAGCTGCGCCACCTGCGCACGCGGGCGGCGGCGCGCCTGGTGTCGGAGCTGGCGGGCACGGCAGAGGGCACCGAGGGCCTGGTGGCCGGGCTGCGCGAGGCGGTGCAGTCCAACTCCTCGCTGGTGCTGCAGCTGCGCAGCCTGGTGGCGCCCGGCAAGCAGTAGGCTGGTGGTCTGGCCTGGCCTGGGCTGGGAGGCAGCAGGGCATCCTGCAAATAAGGCGGGCAGCCGCCACTTGCGGCACCAGCCAACCCTGGCCCTTCCATCCAAGCACCACCAGCGCTTGGCGGCGTTGATTAGGCACTTCTGAGCGGACCCGACTGAACCAAAACAACCACCATCACCATCGTCCTTCTTGTGAAACAGAAATTGACAGCGGCTGGCGGCACCCGCCAGCCGAACTTTTCCCATGCGGAGCGCCTTAGAGCCACCTACTTATCCTCTCTTTCCGCGTTGGGTACTGCTCTTATTTCCCTCTTCATCACCCGAACCTCACACTATTTTCGACCACCGCGCTCTGCAAGCCAGCCCTTGTGACTTGAATTGCGCTGAGCATGTAGAGCTGAAAGCAAGCGTTCACCTTGGTCAAATAAAATAGGGAGAATGGTTGTTCAGTGGGCCATGGTGTTGGTCAACAGAATGTGGCGTGCTGGGTGTCCTGCTCTACAGGGGCGCCCCAGCCAGCTGTCACACGGCGCCTAGATGGCGGGGGCGGGCCTGTGGCGGCGCAGCCGGGCTGACGGCCATGGCGCTGCACCCTGTGTCCTCCAGCGGCGATTGCAGGCGCGGCGAAGGCGCCCGCTGCCCTCCCGGCCCGTGCATGTGCGGGGTGGGAGACCGCTGGCTGATGAGCATGCTGCTGAGTGTGCTGGCTGCTGGCCCGGGCGGGCTGGTGTCTGCTGGCGCCAGGCTCAGCGACGTGGCTTGGAGGAGCAACTGCTGCTGGGCATCACACAGGTCCTGCTGCACCTCCTGCTGCCGATGGCGCTGCTGCTGGTCGCCGGGTGCCGCTGCCGCTGCTGCCGCCACCGCCGCCGCCTGGCCCGGCGGGCTGACGGACGCCTCGCCGCCCTCCCCCCGCAGCAGCCGCGTCTGCAGGCTGCGCATCAGAGTGGCCTGCGGTGCGGTGCGGCACAGCGCAGCGTGCCAGACGTCAGCAAATGGCGACACCAGCATGCAGGAGGAGAGCGGGATGGACCACACGCATGCACCTCTCTCGCAGTCTCCGGGCCCTGCTACCCCGCCGCCTGCCAACCGATTTTGAGCCCTTCCCTCCCACCTTGCGCAGATCCAGCTGGCCCTCTAGTCCGGGATCTGATGGCGAGGTGGGGTGCAGGCTCAAGGCATCGTACAGCCGCATGGGCGTGGGCCGCGGCCGCAGGCCACCAGACCCCGCCCCGCCGCCCGTGCACGGCGCGGGCTGCATGCCGCCAGGCGTGCGCGACTCGCTGCGCGGCGTGCGCTGCTGCTGGGGCTGTTGCTGCTGCTGCTGCTGCCGCTGCGCCTGCTGCTGCTGCGCCTGCTGGTGCTGGTGGTGGCGGGGGTCGGGGCCTGCGGCCGCCACCGGCGAGCACTCGGCGGAGCAGAGCATGAGGGAGTCGGGGAGGCTGCCGGTGGAGACTGCCGGCGCGGCGGCGGCACCCCCAGACGAGCCCCCCGACGCCGCAGGCCGCCCGGACCGCCCCTCCCTGCCCTCCAGGCTCATGCTGCGCGCCAGGTCGCCCGCCATCTCCTGCGGAGCCACAGACCGGCAAAAGCTGAGCCAGACAATGGTTGTACCGATCAAGCGGCTTCAGCACACGCCATGCATGGTGTCGCGCCGCACCACGGTCAGTGGCCTCTCCGCTGCCACTACGAACAACTTGGGCCTGCTGGCACCCACCTGGACCTTGTACCGCTTGTTTGCCCGGTAGCAGTCCAGGTCGATGTCTGTGCCCAGCCAGCTGCCCGCCCGCTTGTGACCCGAGTCGGGCGCATGGTCCAGCTGTAGCGCGGCATGCGGCTGCTGTGACTGCTGCTGCTGCTGCATAAGGGAAGATCGAAGCAGCCACAAAATGGAATTCCAGCCAGCAAACAGGGATGGCTGCTTGCGGTGGTGCGGGCCTACGGCGGCAGCGGTGGGAGCGGAGCGGGTGGCGGCCGCCGGCCCTGGCGGGAGCCTGCCGCCGCTCGGCTCGGCACCAGAACTCTCCATGCCAGCTGTGCAACCCACCCTGAGAGCCATGCGCCGCGCCCCACCCTCTCGATCACTTCTGAAGTAACTCTCGAAGTTCAAGCACGCTGAAACAAACTTCCCTCACTCTCTTCCCTCTTTCAGACCAGAACAGAGTCGAATCGAGTGAGCGGATGTGTGCCCGTCGTTCGAAAAATCGACGGCAGAGGTACCTCAGCGGCGGCGGCAGGCAGGAGGCTGCAGCGCAGCAGTTGCCTTCTCTCTGTTCTGTTCACAAGTTGCAGGTCAGGGATTGTGGAGAGATATAAACAGATCGTTAGGAAGGGCCGTAGGGCAAAGAGCGGATGCAGGGCACACGGCTTTCTCACGGGTGCAGTGCAGGGCAGGGGTGAATGCAGGGTGCCAGGACCTCGACTACACAATCAACATGGGTCAACAGGGGTCGCAGATTGTTGAGAAACATCCATCAGCGATCAGGGCTGGCTGCCGCCACCGCCCATGGACGAGCCCTGGCCACCGCCACCAGACGTGCCCTCGCCACCGCCGGTGGTGCCGCCGCCGGTGCCTCCGGAGGTGCCGCCGCCGGTGCCTCCGGAGGTGCTGGCTCCACCAGTCGTGGTGGACGGCTGTGTGGTGGTGGAAGGCTGTGTGGTAGTCCCGGCTCCGGCCCCAGCACCAGCACCAGCACCAGTCGCTCCAGTGCCAGCAGTCCCGCCAGCCCCGCTCTCCACCTGGACGCCAGCGGAAGAGAAGGCCTGGGCCACAGCGCTGGCGTCAGACTGCAGGATGGTGACGAAGCAGCTGGGCACGGGCGGGACCGAGGCGGAGGCCAGCGCGGAGGCAAACGCCTGGGCAAAGTTGCCGCCGGCCGCGGCGGAGGAGGAGGCGGCTGCGCGCAGCGGGGAGGGGGAACAAAAACGCGGCACATTGCTTGTTGATCCCCAAAGATGGGCACAAAGTGGACCACCAGTGCCAGCGGTCGGCGAGCTCACTTGCGACAGCTTGGGCCGCAGAGTCGCAGCAGTTGGGCCAGGCCTGGGCCACGGCGCTGGCAGCTGCGGTGGCCACCGCGCTGCTGCCGCCACCGGTGCCGCCGGAGGAGGTGGCAACCGCGTACGCGATTGCCTGGGCGGCGGCCTGGGGGTTGGTGCAGATGGCTTGGGCCAGGCCCTGCGCGTTGCACAGGGGGGAGGGGAGGGCCAAGCCTCAGGAGCAGGCCCCTTCTCCGCGTGTGCTTACGTCGTGCCTTTGGCAGCAGGTGCAGCCCTCACCCGCTCCAGCCTGCCTGTTGTTGCTCACCGAGGTGAAGGCGGTGATGACGGCAGCGTTGCTGCTGGACTGGGACACCACATTCACCAGGGACTGGGCCTGGTTGGATGTGATGGCGCTGGCGATGGCGGACGCGGATGCAGAGGCGCCTGCGGAGACGGGGGCAGGTTGAGAGACGCAGAAGGTTGAGAGATGCACGCGTGGCTGCCTAGCAGGTGCAATCAGGTGCGAGCTGCGCCCACCTGAGCTGGACACGGCGGAGCTGAAGGACTCGGCAGAGGAGGAGGCGATGGCGTCGGAGACGGCAGAGGCGCCGCCTGCGGCGCCGCCGGTGGTGGTCGTCGCAGCGCCGCCGCCGCCAGCCGCAGTGGTCTGGCCGGTGGTGGTGGGACGCTCGATGGCTGGCGCCATGAAGCTGTTGCCATTCTGCAGCAGCGCGCGCTTGGTTGCCCATTCACCTGCGTGCCAGGTAGGGGGCGAGGGAGGGTGCCAAGCTTTTAGCCCAGGTAGCGGCGGGTGTGGCGCGGAGCCGGCTAGGGGGAGCACCAAACTGCTCTACACTCGGCGGCCTTGGATAACACGCCACACACAGCAAACTCGTTGCAGCGGCATCCAAGAGGCCTGCCTGCCTCACCGGCCTGGGCCGCCGCCAGCCCCGCGCAGAGCAGCAGTGTCACCGCAGTGGGAGCCAGCCGTGCCATTTTTGTGAGTTCCAGACGATGTGAATGACGCAAAAGGAAAAGAAACAGGTAGTTCCAAGGTGCCAGAGAAAATAGAAGTGCCCAGGCAGCTTCTGCTGTTGATGCCCGCTGCGTGCGCTGCTCGTCATGTACCTTCCTCACCACCTCGCTGGTAGTTTATGCGGTTTTGAGGCTTCTAACAGTGGCCTCGCATCATGAGACGGATGAGAGCATGCGTTCCTCAGAGGGCCACCTGCGCCAGCTACTCCCGCCGCCGCCGTGCCCCGCCGGCACAGCAGGCCCAGCATCGGTAAGCCCAAATGGCGCATATCAAGCTCTACCCAGACTGTATTCCCTCGCCTCGCCCTTGCACTGCTCCTCCGGCTGGGTGCGGCGCAGCGCCCAAACACCCCACCTCCCGCACAACACGGCGGGAACAACGGGTGCCGCGAGTGGCAAGTCGGGGTGCACCGAAGGCGCGTTTCGATACTCCCCGGCCCCCGCTGGAGGCCGCCCGCACTTGCCCCGCCGCCGCCGCTGCCGCCGCCGCCTGGCACTCTGCGCCAGGAGACAGCACCACGCGAGCACCGCCGTATCTGTTCTCCCTTGATGATCGTGGCATCAGTTATGGAGGAATCAACGTCACGGGCGTCGCTTGTGAACCTTGCGTCATTTGAGCTGGGCCTGTCTCGGGAGGGCTCTGGAGCCAGCAGCGCCGCCGCAGAGGTGCTTGCGGCGCCCGAGCACGGCTTTGATGTGCTGGTGCGCGTGATCCAATGCACCAACCTCCCTGGGCACGACTGGTGAGGCATGACCAGCCGTGGCTCTAAATGCACATGCAGCGACCGCACGTCGCTGGCTGCAGCGATGACCCAGCGGTTGGCAGCCGGCGCAGGCCCGGCATGGCCGCTTGGGGTTCATTGGTCGTGCATCAAGATGTGCAGGTGGAACGGGCGTTCCGACCCATATGTCATCATCCGCACCACGACGCCAGGGGAGGGGGGCGAGCTCCAATACAAGTGAGGGGTACTGATTTGCGGTCCGCAGCCAGCATGCCAGCAGGTGCAGCAGAAAAGGAGGCGATGCGCTGCGGCACCCTAGCAGCAGCATCCACTGTCGCCTCTCTCTGCCCCTGTCTGCCGCCGCAGGACCCGCACCGTCTTCCGCGACCTCAATCCACGGTATGACGAGTTTTTTGAGATGGGGAACGTGCCAGAGGCCAGCTGCCTGTCGGTTGAGGTGGGCTGTGGGACGAGAGTGGTTGAGAGCATGAAGCCCGCGCCTGTTTGGCTTGGGGCTGGAGCCCCGAGTACTGGGGCTGCCTGCCGATCCGCGGCAGCGTTCCTGCTGCCGCTGCAGGTGTGGGACAAAGACCTGCTGACTCAGGATGATGTGATGGGGCGGGCGAGCTGGGTGTTTGTGCCGCAGCAGGTGCGTGCGAGGCTGTGCGGCTGGAGCGCTGCGCCAAGCGGCCGTGCCAGCAATGCCTGCGGGCACAGCGCCGGGCACCATGCTTGCTGCCTGGTGCGCCTGGCATCCCCCGCCTGCCTGACTCCCTCGCCACCCCCAGCCGTTTACTGTCGGCGTGTGTGCGCAGTGGGTGCAGCAGGGGCAGCAGAAGTCGCTGGCGGGCAAGGTGCCGCTGCAGCTGCAGCTGCACCACCCCAGGAAGCCGGGGAAGTTCAAGGGTCAGATCCAGCTGGAGGTCCGATACCGGCCCTCCATGTTCCCGGGCACCCCGCGCCTGCTGGGGCCCGTGCGCTTCACGCAGTGCTTCTCTCCCAACGCCGGTGCGTGGCTGGTGCCGTGCCCTACCCTCCGGGTGCCTGTACCTGCCTGCTGCTGGCGATGCAATCATGGGTCCGCTCCCCTCCCGACCATCACACCAGATTGGCCAACACCTCCCGGCGCCGCCTCTGCTCGCGCCGCACGCAGGCTTCCTCATGATGCGCTGGAACGACGACCAGACCATGGCCTTCTGCGTGTGGAAGCTGTTCCTGTGCCACATCGAGGAGGTGTTTGAGGGTGTGAGCCACGAGTGGAACCGCAAGCACGACAAGGCCGCCCGCATCTACAAGAACCCGGTGATGCTGCAGGGGGTGCGCTCGCAGGTGGGCTGGGGGCTGGGCGGGGTGGGGTGGGGTGGCGTGGGGTAGTAGTGCGGTTGTGAGCTGCTGGCATGCATGCATGCATCGATGTACAGCCACCCACAGCTCGGGCAAGGTGCGGGAGCTGAGCAGCCCGGCGAGGCGCTGGCCCTTCCGCCAGATGCATGGCGTGCCGAGCGCCCGCCCCTCTCCCCCGCCTCCACCCCGCCCTTCAGCACGCGGCGCTCTACTCCACGCACCTGGGGCGGGCGCGGTGCGGCGTGCTGTGCAGCGCTGTGGAGTTCTTTGCGGCCTTCAACTTTGGCAAGCGGGCGGGGCAGCGGCGCTACTACACCTACAGCCTCATGCCCGACAGCCTGCGGTGCAGCGAGACGGGGGCCGGCTTCTTCGTCGACTTCTCCTCGAAGCACGCCATGCACGCCAACGCGGCGGAGGAGGTGCTGTACGCGGGTGAGGCTGGGAGGCGGGGACTGCTGGCGCGCGGGAGGAGGCAAGCAGGGCAATGGATCCCCCACACGCCCCCACACACATGGAATGCGCCACCGCTCTCCTCCCCACTCGCCCCTTCCACCTGGATCTGTGCTGCCCTGCGGCCCAGCGCAGGCGAGTTTTGCATCGTGCCAGACGCGGCGGCGGAGGGCGGTCACCGCTTGGTGGTAGACAACAACTCGGGTGGGCTGCTGCTGCTGCTGCCACGCCCCGCGCTGCTCACTCCGCGTGCATGCAAGCAAGGCATGCCCTGCACTGCTTCCCGGCCCTCCCCACATCGCTGGCCCCTCTCCCTGCTGCCTACGCCTCACTGGGCCCATTCCTCCCCCGCAGGCACCTTTGCGCCCAAGGCGGAGCACCTGCCCCTGATGCAGCACCTGTTTGAAGCCAACTTCCCCGGCATGAGTGTGGAGACTGTTGCGGCGGGGGACCCTCGCCTGGAGGAGTACCACCGGCAGTGCCCCAGCCGCCTGTCACCAGCGGCAGCAGCGGCCGCAGCAGCCGCAGCAGCGACAGAAACAGGGGCAGCAGAGGGGACGGCAGAGGACTCGGTGGGAGCAGAAGCAGCCAAACTTGAGAAGCTGGCCTTGGAACAAAATGGAGCCGACTCGGCGCCCTGATGCGTGTTCAACTTGAAAGGTGTTGTCTGCCAGACTGCGATTCGGCCACCGTGATGCTCAGTCAATGTATTTTCATCTTGCATATCTGTCTGTCTGCCTATCTATTGTCTTTAAGTTGACACTCTTGTAATTAGATCTGCTGCGCATCTTTGCTTCACTCCACCACCCGCGAGTGGCAGAAGCCGCATGTGAAGGCCGCCGCCTCAGCTGCGCCCTCCCCTCCCGCCACAGCGCCGCGCATCTTCAACTGCATGTGCAGGCGAGACAGAGGTGGACTTTGGTTGCCAGTCCTCTCAAAAGCATGCTGCTGCTGATGCCGTCCCAGCCTGCCGCTGGTGGCTACTCTGGCAGCTGTTCTGGTCTGCCAGCTCAATTTAGTTGCTCACCTGCACATCTCCAAACGTGCGCCCAAAGCTCTCGCCGTTCCTCCTGAGCACCCGCCCCTCCAGGAGTGCCAGCAGCGTCCCTGCGCCCGACGCCTGCTCCACAGTGTTGCAGCGCAGCAGGTGAGGAGATCTCACAACAGAGGAGCTGCCCTGCCGCCTGCGATAGTGTGATAAGAATGCCAAGCGCAGCAGGACCTTCTGTTGATGCACAGCACAGCCTTCCAGGATCTCCCAGGCTCACCTGCACCAGGTGCGGCAGCAGCTGGGCCAGCACCGTCACGTCGCTGCCCGCATCGTGCTCCGCCTCGCCCGGCGCCAGCGTCACGCCAAAGCGCTGGCGCAGCGTGCCCTGCTTGTGGTTGGCGCAGTCTGGCACGCACTCGCGAGCCAGTGGCAGTGTGTCCAGCAGCCTGCCAGGGAGGTGGGAGCAGGAGGCCAGACAAGAGTCGGAGCTGGTCTTCTGGCCGCACACACACTTCCACACCACCCTGCTCCCTCCCCCTCTGTCCACCTCACCTCCACTCCCGCGGCACAGGCAGGTCGCGGCGCCCCCACTCCGCAATCAGCATGCGAGCATCAAAGGGAGCATTGTGCCCCACGACGAGCGGCGGCGCAGGCTGGTGGCCGCCTGAGCCGCTGGTCACGCCTCCACCGGCAATGAAGGCGTGCAGCAGCGGCGCCAGCTGGCCAAAGGTGGGGCGGTTGGGGTCGTGCAAGGCCTGGTTGTTGGCCCCGCACACCTGCAGTGAGCAAGCAGACGTGCTGCTGAGACCAAGAATGCAACAACAACACCCTACATCAGACACCCGCACACACTCCCAGCCCCTGCAGGGCTTGCCTTGGCAGCGGCAGGCCCGGTGGTGCGCGGGCACGTGCGCAGCAGGGCTGTCAGCAGCTGGCAGGAGCTCAGGTTGAGCACAGCCAACTGGTGGATGTAGTCGCGGCCTGCAGGCGGGCAGGCACAGAGGCGAGAGTGAGCACGAGGTGTCGGTTTCACTCGCAAGAATGGAACGGCGAACAAGCTACGTGTATGTGTACGGGCAGGGGCCAGGAGGGAGCACTGGTTCAATTTGGAGCACTCACCAGACAGGCCAGTGGTCTCGCTGTCCAGCACCAGAGCCGGGCCGTGGCTGCTGGTCCAGCCAACGGCGGCCGCGATCCCACGGGCAGCCGGGCAGTGGCGCAGGGTCACGTAGGGCGGCTGCAGGCTGCGCAGAGAGGCGGGGGCGCGGGGCAGCCGCCCCTCTGCCGCCTGCACCGCCAGGTGCCGTGTGCAGTAGTCTGGTGGGTGGGCCGAGGCGGGCAGCAGCACCAGCCGCACGCGCTCCTGTGGCTGGCCCAGCATGCCTTGCAGCAGCGGTGCGTGGCCGTCACAGACCACCACCAGCAGCGCTGCAAAGCGCTCGATGCTCAGCGTCTCGGCTGGCGGGGGGCAATGGGCGCCCATGTCGCCCCTGCCTTTGGGCCAGACTGCCGTTGGTGCACGCGTCGGCGAGGTGGCCGGCCGCGGCTCGGCTGCGCCTCTGCCAGGCGTGTCTGGCCCGCCTGCCGGCGTCTGGCTGGGGCTGGCGGCGGGGGCAGCGCCTGGCCTCCATCCATCCATCCATGCAAAGTAGCGGCAGTGGCCGCTGGCCGGGAAGCTCGGGCACGAGGCATAGACGCGGCCAGGGTTCTTGGCGCTGCGAGACACTCCCACGAAAGGTGCCAGCCCGCATTCGCAGGCAGCCCTGGGGCCTCGGGAATCGCGGCGGGACATCAGACTGTCAGCCTGCACGACCAGGGAGGGATGGGGGGCAGCTGGGCACGTCGCGCGCACACCAGGCGCTGGCGCGGGAGGCCGGTGGGCAGGCCGGCGGGCAGGGCGCGGCTGGCGGTGGCTGGTATTAACAGCAATGTTGGGCGGCACACACATCCGCTTGCGTCCTCTTACCGTTGCACGGGTTGAGGCTGGGACGCCCAGGCCCAGCCAAGGCTCGGACTCGGTTTGCAACACGGCGGGTGTAGCACAAGCGAGCGTGGAGGCTGGCTAATGCGGATGTGCGGGTGGTGCTTGGGCGCAGGAACAGGAGTAATGCCCTGGAGGGCATCACAATTGCCCAGAAATCACAGCCCATGCTGAGCGTGCTACGGGTGAGGCCCATGCAGGGTCTCCGTCCAGTGCCGGGCTGCCATGGCGCAATCGCACTTGATGAGCTGATCAACAGATCGACAGAAGCACAGGGCAAACTGCCTGCCATGCTGTCCGCATCAAGGGCAGTTGCCCCCTCCCTAGCCCAGCCAGCCCTCCTGCAGCCGCTGGTGGGACGGTTATCGGTGGCGTGCCGCGCCGGCAGCAGCAGCAGCAGCAAGGCAGCCGGCGAGGGGCGGCGAGCCGCCAGTTCCGTCCAAGCGGCAGCGGCTCCGCCGGCTGATGCGGAGCCGCCGATAGTCAGGTGCGTGCTTGTGTAGGCAGGTGGGTGGATGGATGGCGAGGTTGTGAGCCACCCAGCTGCCAGCCCTCCGCCGACAAGCCCCACCCGCCCGTGCAGCCCCACGCAGCGCACCAAGCTGCTGCGGCGCGGCGCGCGGCAGAAGGGCTCGCTGCTAGTGGATCTGTCCAACACGCGGCAGGCCGAGGCGCAGCCGCTGCTGGGCATCCTGGAAGGAAAGTTTAGGGTGGCGCCAGAGGAGGTGGCGGCGCTGCAGGCGCAGCACGGCGTGGGTGAGGAGGAGCTGCTGGCCCGCCTGATTGGTCCCGCCGCCGAGCTGGCGAGGCCCCCAATCTCCTCCTTCCACGTCGGGTGCGTCGCTGCGCTGCCTGCCGCTGCCGCCGCTGGGCGCCTCTGCCTGCGTGCACAGGCAAGAGCCTTCCTGCTTCTGAGGGCCGCAGACACTTTGCCTGCGCCACTTGCTTCAGCCTTGCGGCCCGCTCCGTCTCGCTCCCTGGTGTGTACCTGACCCCTACAGTACCCCCCACTGTGCAGCGCGGTGGGCCTAGGGTCCAGCGGCGCGCTGTACGTGGGTGTCAACCTGGAGTTTGTCCGCCTGCCCCTGTACAACTCGGTGCACGCGGAGCAGTTCCTGCTCGTCAACGCGCTGCACCACGGCGAGCGGGAGATACGGCGGCTGGCGGTGTCGGCGGCGCCCTGCGGCCACTGTCGCCAGTTCTACTCCGAGCTGGCCTGCGCGGTGGGTGGCCGGGGCGGGTGTGGGCTGGGGGTGGAAAGTGAGGGGAAGTGCAGCTGTGGTGGGAGCCCGCGCGGCCTAGCCTGATGTCAACATCCTGCTCCCCGCCCCCCGGCCAGCAGTGTTGCCAGCGTGGCGTCTCCACCCCCACCCTGCCCCCCCCACCGTCTGCCGCAGGAGAGCGTGCGCTTCAGCTTCCAGGGCGGCACCTACTCGCTGGGCCAGCTGCTGCCCATGCGGTTCAAGCCCGCAGACCTGCTGCCCGACCCCGCCACGCCGCTGCTGCTGCAGCCGCAGGACAACGGCGTGCAGCTGACGGCGGCGGCGCGCGAGCTGCTGCACGCGCGGGCCGGCGATGCCGCCTTTGAGCGGGCCGCCGCAGAGGCGCTGGCCGAGGCGGTGGGCAGCTACTCGCCGTACAGCCGGTGCCCCGCGGGGCTGGCCATTGTGACCCAGGGGGGCGGCGTGTACAGCGGAGGGTACGTGGAAAGCGCGGCGTACAACCCCAGCCTGCCGCCGCTGCAGACGGCCATCGTGGATGCCGTCATAGGTGCGCATGGGGTGTGCGGGTGGAGGTGGGGGGCGACGATGCTGCGGCAGGCGCCAGCGTCGGGCGCCGCTGGTGGCAAGCACTGCGCCGTGCTCTTTCTGCTCTGCTCTCCTTCCTCAAGACATCGCACCGCCGCGCTTGGCACTTATGCTTGCCGCCCCTCCCTGTTGCCACTGCGCAGACGGCATGCCCTGCTACACCGCGGTGGATGAGGTGGTGCTTGTGGAGCTGGCTGACGGGCAGGTGCAGCACGCGCCCACCACCCGCGTCATACTGGAGCAGATTGCGCCGCAAGCCAGGCTCACGGTGCTGCCGGCGGAGTGGGTGGCGGCCAGCTAGCAGAGGGCAGCAGCGGCCTGAGACCCCTTGTACTCTAAACATCTTCGGGCGTGGCCTGCACACCGCATTTCTTTTCCTGTCACCCCAGTACATTCCTGCTCACTGATTGTACATTTGATTGGCCTGTCACAGCACATGCGGAGCAAACAGGTTGCCCGGTATGCCATGCCTGCGACGCGTGCGCTGCCCCAGGCGGCGACCAACACCCCGAGACGCTGCCATCTGTGATCTGCATGCCACCTTCAAACATCACGTGCCTACGATGACAAGGCGTTGCACTTATGATAGTTTGACGAACAGAATCGGAGTGCAGCATTGCCTGACTATTCTTTGCTGCATGCCGCTGTTGCACTGTTTGTCTGCCTGCTTCCTTCTTGGCCCTCACCACTGTCAGATGCTACATTCGATCTGTTACACCGGCACCTGCCGCCTCCGCTGCTCCCAAACTCCCGCTGCCGCCGCTGTTGTCAGCCAGGTGGCGCCGCGCCGCGGCCAGGATGGCGGCATCCAGCTGGTGGTGCTTGGGGATCTTGGCCAGCGGCTTCAGGTCCAGGTCCACAACAGCCAGGCGGTAGGCAAACCAGGCGCCCGCCGCGGCGCAGTAGGTGCGGCACACCGGCGGCGATACAGCCTGCAGAGGCTGGCCTTGCTGCTGCTGCTGCTGCTGCTGCTGGGACTCGCGAAGCTCCTGCCCGTCTGTGTGAGGGTTGGTGCCGCTGCCGCCGCCACTGCCTGGCTCCACAGCGCCGTCCCCAGCGCTCGCAGCTGGTGGCGTGTCTGCCAGGCGCTGCAGGGTGATCATGATGGCGCAGTCCTTGGCTGTGGCAGCCACAACATACGACCGCAGCACAGCATGCGCCTCTGCCAGCGGCATCGCCAGCAGCTGCCGCACGGCGGCCGCATGGGCGCTTGATGCCTCTGCTGTCGCATCAGCGCTGCCGCCACCGCTATCGCTGTCTCTGCTGCTGCCGTCTGCTGCTGCACTGTGGGCTGGCTGCACCTCGGGGGTGAGTGTGCCTGCCAGGTGGCAGTACAGTTGGTAGATGCCTTCTATGTCGTACCGGCACTGCTGCTGGGCTTGCAGCAGGCACGGCAGCACCCCCTCCCGCTCCAGCACCCCCGCAAGAAGATCCACAAGGGCAGCCCGCCGCTGGCCGGCCGGCAGCGGCAGCAGGGCTGCCAGAAGCTCCTCCAGAGCGGGTCCTGCCTGCTGCTGCTGCTGGTCGATTTCGGCCTCGGGTGGCTGCTGCTGCTGCTGGTCCCCCTCTGGTTCCACTGCTGCCTCGCCTGCCGCTGCGTGCTGTTCCTTCTGCCGCCGCTTGCGGCTCAGCTGCCGCCCCACCAGCTGCTGTTTCTGGCCGTCCAGGAAGAGCAGCAGGTTGTTCTGGGGCTGGTCCAGCAGCGCATTGAGCGCGGCGCGCAGCCGGCTTGGATCCCCAGCAAACAAGTCCTGAGGGTCATAGGCGCTGCAGGCCGCAACCTTGCCCTGCCAGGGTGGCAAAGGGGGCGGCAGGAGTTGCATGCGCGGAGGGGGGAGCCAGTGCGGCAAGTGCACGCTGGCTCAGGCAGCAGCAGGCCTGGCACACAGGCCAGCTGGCCCTGGTGGAGGTTGCGTCCCTGCTGCTTGCCTGCTGCAACCACAGAAACCCCTCAGCCCTACCCCTCCACTCTGTCCCACCCACCTCTGCCAGCTTGAGCATCTGGTGCAGCTGGAAGCGGGAGCGGCTGCGCTTGATGGGGCGGTTGTCGGGGTGCACCGTGGCGCAGCCGCCGCCGATGAAGCCGCACTTGGGCTTCAGCTCGATGCACACCGCAGGGGACAGCGCTGCGCCGCTGCCAGGGGCTGCCGTCGGGCTGCTGTCCGACAGGAGCGTCACATCAGGCATCAGCGAGGCGACCCCAGGAGCCACCTCCGACTTCTCTGCTGCCGCCGCTGCTGCAAAGTCCAGGCCATTGCCGCCGCTGGGCAGGCAGCCGCTGTACACCAGCAGGCGCCGCAGGAAGCTCGGACTGGTCTGCACCGGCTCCTGGTGCGGCACGTGGTGCTGCCCCAGCAGCGGCGCCAGCAGCTGCTGCACATAAGCCTGCTCTCGTGCCGCCGCCGCGCCGGCCGCGTTGGTTGCGGCGGTGGAGGGCCCCAGCACCGGTGCCCACACCGCCTCCTCTAGTGCCGCCTGCTCGGCATCCTGAGGTGGCCTGGGCTTGCGCACACGCAGAACCTTGCCGACCTGCGATCGGGAGGTGGGCCACAGCCATGCTGAGTCGCGTGTGAAAAGGGGGCCGGCCGGCAGCGGGGGCGGCATCGAGGGCGACTGTGCAGCGGCCGGTCCCCTCTTCGGGTCTGCGCACCAGAAGGGGCAGGCTTCCCGCGTACGCAAACACCCAGTTGGCGTTGCCCTCCCCTTTGAAGCTCCACAGCTCGGGGCGATCGAGCTCCGTCACCATCACCGGGAGCAAGGAGTTAGGCTGCCTGACTGCAGGTTGCAATACAACGTCTGACTGCAGGTGGATGCCATCTTATTATAGTGACGTCTGCGTTGGTGCTGAGCAGGCGCCAGATCAGCGGCAGACAAGGTTGCACCCTGCCTTGTCCGGCTCCTCTGCACCGCCCCGAGCATCCCCACAGCCTTATTTGGCCTAGAGATGGCCATGGAGCTGCCGATGGCCTCCCTAGCTTCCAGCAGCAGCTGCGCCCGGAGCCTGCTGCCCTCCTGCGCCAGAGCAGTGGGCGCCTGGCTGCGCCGGCGGTACAGCAGCTGGCTGCACCCCGAGCATGCCTGCATCCTGCCGCTGCACCCGCAGCCGCAGCTGTGCACCGGGTGAGCAAGAACGGGCTTGCAGCTTCAGAGGGCTTGCAGCTTCAGATGCATGCCCTCCGAACGCTCAGATCCCTCTCTCCGCAATGTCTGATGCAGGTCCCAGTACAGCAGCGGCGTATTCCAGCTGGTGGCGCACTACTTCCCTGACCGCCACACCCGGCCGCCCCGGTGCATCGCCATCCACGCAGACGGCGCAGACGGTGCCAAGGCGGCAGAGCAGCTGCGGAGCGCCGGCTTTGAAGTGACCTCGCTGGTGCTGAGGGAGCAGGCGGGGATCCAGGGCGGCCTCCTGCGCGACGGCGGCAGGCGGCAGTGCTGCCTGGAGAAGCTGGCGGTTGGGCCAGAGGGGCAGCAGGTGGCAGCCCCCACCACGCCAAGCGTGCGGGCAGATGCGCTGGTCTTTGCTGACACAATGCACCTGGTGGATACACGCCGAGCACTGCAGGCAAGCTGCTGCCGAGCTCCCTGCTGCCGAGCCGTGGGTAGACACGAGTGCTAGGCCAGCCTTGCGCATCGCTTCTACGCTGCTGCATCCTGCGCAGGCCGCCAGCCGCCACCTGCGCCGCGACGGCTTGCTGATGTGCCTGTGGACCGACCGCGACCTGGCCTCCCGTTTTGTGCTGGATGTGGAGGAGTTGTTGGAGGCGGCGGCGCCAGGCAGGTTTTTCAACCGGCATGTAGGCAGGCAGGCGTCTGTCCGTTGCCGCTGCTAGCGGTTGGCCACCTCACACTCACTGCTCAACCTTGTGCCCCTGGCTGAGCAGGTTTCTGCCGATACGACTGCCAGCGAGGTATGCAGGTTCTTGGGGGCTTCTCAGTTGGCAGCGCAGAGCGGCTCAGTAAGGAGTTGTGTCAATTGTGCCCTGCCCTTGCACTAACCTGAGACCACCTCCTACCGTGCTGCAGATTGTGCGGACTGGGTGCCTCGCCTTCAGCTGGGTGCGCCGCTGCTCGCCTGGCCTCCCACCGATGCCTGCCGACATGCCACGCCTCATGCATGCCTCGCGATGCCTGCACGCCTCCCTCGCTGCCCTGAGCGTGCAGGCGGTCTGTTTCGACTGATCGACTACTCGTGCCAGCCGCACACCCTGACCATCAGGCCTGCGGCCCTGCTGGACCTGCTGGCCTCCAAGGCGGCGCTGCACGCCGCGCTGGGCAGCACGCGGCGCCGCTCCTTCCACGACCACCTCCAGCGCCTGATCGAGCGGCACTATGGGCCCCAGCGGGACCTGATCGAGCTGCCCCTGCACACCAAGGCATACCTGCTGGCCAAGCTGCCACACGCTCCTGCCGCAAGCCCGGCACGCGGCAGGCTCCTGCAGGCGGGCGCCGGGGCGCTGGAGGCGGAGAGGGTCTGCCTGTTCTGCGGCAGCCCAGTGGAGGATTGAGCCCGCCTTCCGATTGGCCACGGCAGTTACGGATGCATGCATGCTTAAAGATGACATGACACGGTGTAGTGAATGCGACGGGGAACAGTGCGGTGCAGAGGAAATGAATGAGCGACTGCAACGGTGGAATGCAGGAACAACTGAGGAGGAGCCCAGCAGCCACCGATTGCGCATGCATGCTGCTGCCACATTGCCCAAGGTCGGAAGCTTAGGTGCACCCAGTGAGATTGACAGGCTCAACAGGGTTGCAAACTGCTGGGGGAAGATACACAGATATGAAATCGTAGCAATACAAGGGAGCAGGAGGGAATGTCTCCGTCAAGCGTGCTGCTGCTGCGCCGCCGTGGCTCCCCCCTCACGACGACCACGGGTTGTCCATCTGGCGGACGAGGGCGGGTATGTCCAAGGAAAGCGCGTCGTCCACCTGGCGGATCATGGCCTTGTCCAGCTTGGGGAAGCGGCTGAGGTCAAAGGCAGACAGGATCTCGCGGTACCGCTCCACGTCGGGGAAGTCTCCTGCGGGCGTTTGTGTGAGCGGGAGCGTGTATGTGCTTGTGTGTTGCAGCTGGGGTAGGGGTTGGAGGCAGGTGCGGCGAGGGAACCACGGACGTCGGCTGCACGCCGCCGCTGCCGGCCCACCAGCATGCCTCCTGCGGGCTGGCGCACCCCACGCCTGGCCCCTGCCGCCTCACCCGGGTGCAGGTGGAACTCGCGCTGCACGTGCTGGAACTCCTGCGCCAGGTTCTCCAGCAGCTTCTCCTGCGCCTTCTTCTGTCCAAAGTAGGGGATCTGCTTGCGCAGGTGGCCCATGATGAGGAAGTGGATCTTGGCGGCCCTGCAGCACAGGCGGTACAGGCGGTGCAGGGGTGCGGGTTAGCCAGGGGCCCAGGTAAGCCAGCCCTGGAAACCCAGTCGCTGAACCCGAGCCCTGCGCAGCCACCCCCACTCCCCCATCCCCCGCCTGCCCACACCGCCTGCCTGCCAGCCCGCCCGCCCGCCCGCACCCCCGCGCACCTGACGCGCTTGACAAACTCGTTGATGCGCCTGTCGCAGGAGCGTGCGGGTATGTCGTACAGGTCGTGCAGCAGGTCCTCCTGCTCCTTCTCAAACAGGGCGCGCCCCGTGGGGTTGACGTCGTCGCGGATGGGCTGGCTGGCGTTGAAGCTGCGGGGCGGGGCGGTGGCAGGGACAGGCGCGGTGGCGTGGCGTGGTGGTGTGGTGGTGGTGTGGTGTGGTGCGGTGGGGGCGAGGTGGTGAGGCAGCGGAGGAGCCAGGCAGCGGAGCAGGTGGAGGAGCAGGCGCCGGAGCTTCCCCCCCCACCACCCCCACAGCCAGCCACCCACCCACCAGCCCCCCCACCCGCCCCACCCCACCCCACGT